CCACCACACCTGGCTTGTGTGTCCTTTTGTGTCTGGCCTCTCTCACTGAGCGTGACGTCCTCAAGGTTCATCCACGCTGTGGCCTGTATCAGAGCCCTGTTCCTTTTCGTGGCTGAGTCCAGCTGTGGTGTGGATGAACCCACACCATCTGTACTGGCCCATCTGGCTGTCCAAGGACACTTAGCTGTTTCTAACATTTACTTGTGAGTAATGCGGCTGTGGACATTCATGTACACGATTTTGTTAGAGTGCCCATTTTCCACTAGATGACTTGGAGCTCTGCGTTTTGCTGTGTGTGTGTGTGTGTGTGTGTGTGTGTGTGTGTGTGGCTTATTGAGAAACCTTCCCAGAGACTTCAGCGTTGAATGGCATAGACAAGACCTCCTAAAAAACTCAGCAAACCGTCTGAACCCCAGAACCTCCGAATGTGACCGTATTTGGAAATAGGGTCGTCGCAGATATAATTAGTTAAGATGAAGTCATTCTGAAGTAGGGTGAGCCTTCAATGAGACTCCTTTCCTTATAAGAAGATAAAATCTGGACACAGACACAGGGAAGAGACAGCCAAGTGACAACAGAGGCCGAGAGTGGAGTGATGTGTCTACAAGCCAAGGGACGCCAACGAAGGCCACCCACAGCCAGAAACTGTGCACGCCAGGAACGGTTCTACCCAGGGGCTCTGCGGGAGCGAGGCTCTGCCAGCACCTCGATTGTGGGATTCTGGCCTCTGGAGCTGTGAGAGGATCCATTTCTGCCACCTGTTTGTGGTGCTTTGTTTTTGTTTTTTTTTAAAGACGGGGTTTCACCATGTTGGTCAGGCTGGTCTTGAACTCCCGACCTCAGGTGATCCGCCCGCCTTGGCCTCCAAAGTGCTGGGATTCCAGGTGTGAGCCACCACGCCCGGCCTGTTTTTGTTATATTTTTAATTAAAAAAAAATTTTTTTTTAAAGACAGAATTTCTCCATGTTGGTCAGGCTGGTCTTGAACTCCCAACCTCATGTGATCTGCCCACCTCAGCCTCCCAAACTGCTGGGATTACAGGCATGAGCCACTGCGCCCAGCCGTTTTTTATTTTTTAGAGGTTCAAGCAATTCACCTGGCTCCCTATGCTGCCCAGGCTGGTCTTGAACTCCTGGGCTCAAGAGTCCTCGTGTCTTGACCTCCCAGAGTGCTGGGATTCCAGGTGTGAGTCACTGCGCTGGGTCACTTCGTTTTTGAGGCAGGGTCTCGGTATGTTGCCCAGGCTGCAATGAATGCAGTGTGACAATCGTAGCTCACCGAAGGCTTGACCTCCCGGGGTCAGGTGATCCTCCCTCCTGGTTCCTGTGAGTAGCTGAGACCACAAGTACCTGCCATCACTACTGACCAATTTTTTCTTTTTTTTGAGACAGACTCTCCCTCTGTTGCCCAGGCTGGAGTGCAGAGGTGCAATCTCAGCTCACTGCAACCTCTACCTCCCAGGTTCAAGTGATTCTCCCACCTCAGCCTCTCAAGTACTTAGGATTACAGGCACCCGCCATCACGCCCAGCTAATTTTTGTATTCTGAGTAGAGATGGGTTTTACCATGGTGGCCAGGCTAGTCTCGAACTCCTGACCTTAGGTGATCCACCTGCCTCAGCCTCCCAAAGTGCTGGGATTCCAGGCATGAGCCACTGTGCCTGGCCAATTTGTTTGTATTTTTTTAGAGATGGGGTCTCACTATGTTGCCCAGACTGGTCTAACGACTGGATTCAAGTGATGGGTCTGGTCAGCCTCTCAAAGTGCTAAGATTACAGGCATAAGCCACTGTGCCCAGCTGTTTCTTTGTGGTTGCGAGAGGATCTTGCTCTGTGGCCCAGGCTGGAGTTCAGAGACGTGAACACAGCTCACTGCAGCCTGCGCCTCCTGGGCTCAATCTTCCCACCTCGGCATCCCAAGTAGCTGGGACCACAGGTGCGTGCCACCACGTCCAGCTAATTTTGTATTTTTTGTAGAGATGGGGGTGTCACCTTGTTCCCCAGGCTGGTCCCAAACTCACGGGCTCAAATGATGCTCCCGCCTCAGCCTCCCAAAGTGCTGGGATCACAGGCGAGAGCCACCTCACCCCACCCACTTTGTGGTGCTTTGTTACGGCTGCCCTGCGATCAGGGAAACTGATACTGCCAACCCCCGACCCCCGCCAGACCGTCTCACATCTCCCGTGCCAGGAAATTTAGAGCTTCTCATTTCTAGGTAGGCCTGGAAAATACCATTTTGTAGCAGATTTTTTTACTTTAAAAAAATTCCAGTATACAATTCAGTAGGTTTTAGTACATTCAAAAAGCTGCGTGGACTGGGCGCAGTGGCTCATGCCTGTAATCCAAGCACTTTGGAGGCCAAGGTGAGCGGATCACCTAAGGTCGGGAGTTCAAGACCAGCCTGACCAACATGGTGAAATCCCGTCTTTTAAAAAAAAAAAAAAAAAAGGCCGGGCGCGGTGGCTCATGCCTATAATCCCAGCACTTTGGGAGGCCGAGGTGGGTGGATCACAAGGTCAAGAGATCAAGACCATCCTGGTCAACATGGTGAAACCCCATCTCTACTAAAAATACAAAAAATTAGCTGGGCATGGTGGCACGTGCCTGTAATCCCAGCTACTCGGGAGGCTGAGGCAGGAGAATTGCCTGAACCCGGGAGGCGGAGGTTGCAGTGAGCCGAGATCGCGCCATTGCGCTCTAGCCTGGAAGGCAGAGTGAGAGTCTGTCTCAGGAAGAAAAAAAAAAAGCTGTGCAATCATCACCTCTAATTCCAGAACATTCCATCACCACCCCCAGAGGAAACCCTGTCTCCATCAACGTCAATCCCCATCCCCTCCCCTATTCCTGACACCCCCGTTATCCCCTTCCTGTCTCTGTGGAGGAGTCTGCCCTGCACATTTCATAGAAATGAGATCACATGCTGTGTGGCCTTTCGTGTCTCACTGAGACTCCCGTGGCTTCTCTCTCACTGGGCGTGGTGTCCTCAAAATTCATCCACGTCATAGCTTGCAGCTTGCAGCACGTTTTGCTGAAGTTTACACTTTACATACAGTTTTGTGTTTTTTTTTTTTTAAATTGAGATGAAGTTTCACTCTTGTTACCCAGGCTGGAGTGCAATGGCGCGATCCCGGCTCACCGCAACCTCCGCCTCCTGGGTTCAGGCGATTCTCCTGCCTCAGCTTCCCGAGTAGCTGGGATTACAGGCACGTGCCACCGTGCCCAGCTAATTTTTGTATTTTTAGTAGAGACGGGGTTTCACCTTGTTGACCAGGATGGTCTCGATCTCTTGACCTCGTGATCCACCCGCCTCGGCCTCCCAAAGTGCTGGGATTACAGGCGTGAGCCACTGTGCCCGGCAGTTTTTTTTGTTTTGTTTTTTGAGACAGAGTCTGACTCTGTTGCCCAGGCTGGAGTGCAGTGGCGCGATCCTGGCTCACTGCAACCTCGGCCTCCAGGTTCAAACAATTCTCCTGCCTCAGCCTCCCGAGTAGGTGGGATTACAGGCGCCCACCACCGCGCCCGGCTCATTTTTGTATTTTTAGCAGAGATGAGCTGATGAGCTTTCACCATGTTGTCCAGGCTCATCTCAAACTCCTGGCCTCAAGCAGTCTGCCCGCCTCAGCTCTCACAGTGCTGGGATTACAGGCTGAGCCACCGCGCCCGGCCTCACATAAACTTTCATACGTTCTCCAAACCCTTCTGCCACTTGCTTTTCTCCACGCGTGTTTGGTCTGTGAGGCTCCTCCCAGGCGGAGGCCGTGTCTGGCTCTGCTGTAGGGCTCACCCCGCAGTCAGGATGGCTGTTATTGAGCCAACTTTCCTGCGTAGGAATTTGATGGATGCACAGGTGTCTCTGGCATTGCATTCCAGCGGAGGTTGACCAATGCCTCCTGGTGCCTGGGGTCTCCTCCCTCTATGACCTGGACATCCATTCATTCCTCACGAAAGATCGCTGAGCACTTGCTGTGTGCCAGGCACTGGGCACTGGGCATGGGGACACATCAGGGGAACAACCCCCGGAGCTCCTCCTAGAGCTGACATTCCTCCAGTCCTGGAGACAATGCAATAACATATCAGCCGGAGGATCCCTTGAGGTGAGGAGTTCGAGACCAGCCTGGCCAACATGGTGAAACCCCTGTCCTTACTAAAAGTACAAAAAGTAGCCGGGCGTGGTGGCAGGTGCCTGTAATCCCAGCTAATTGGGAGGCTGAGGAAGGAGAATCGCTTGAACCGGGAAGGCAGAGGTTGCGGTGAGCCGAGATGGTGCCACTGCATTCCAGCCTGGGTGGGAGAGAGAGACCCTGTCTCAAAAAATAAAATATCTGATACATCAGATGGTAGCTTTAAATGCTGGGGAGAGGCTGGGCACAGTGGTTCACATCTCTAATCCTCGCACTTTGGGAGGCCAAGGCTGGAGGGTAGCTGGAGCCTCTGGTGTCGAGTTTGAGACCAGCTTGGCAACAGAGTGACAGCCTAGCTGTACAAAAAATTAATCACGGGGGCCACAGTGGCTCCCGCCGGAGGTCGTGGCGCTTGTGAAGGCGAGGTCATGAGTTCAAGGCTAACCTGAGCAACCTCATAAGCTCAAACTGATTGGTAAAAAAAAAAAAAAAAAACATGTTTCTTATTTATTTATGTAGAGACAGAGTGTTGCTCCGTGGCCCAGGCTGGAGTGCAGTGGCGCCATCTCGGCTGACTTTAACCTCTGCCTCCCAGGCAATTCTCCTGCCTCAGCCTCCTGATTAGCTGGGATTACAGGCGCCCGCCACCGCGCCCGGCTAAATCTTGTATTTTTTAGTAGAGACCGGGTTTCACCATGTTGCCCAGGCTGGTCTCGAACTCCTGACCTCGGGTGATCCACCCGCCTCGGCCTCCCAAAGTGCTGGGATTACAGGCCTGAGCCACCACACCGGCCTGTCCGGGTCCTTATTTGAGGTCCCTGTTCTTCCAGGGTCCTGAGCTGAGGCGCCCCTCCCACCCCCACCCCCCACCCCCACCCCCCCGCCAGACTGCGGGTATCCCCGGGGAGGGCGCGGCTGGCTCTGGCAGGACCCGGACACCTGGGGCCCGACTCACCCCTGCGCCCCCGGCGGTGTCTCCTTCCCGGGCGGCTCGGGTTCCCGGATCCCCTTACCAGGGCGTCTCGGCTGTCGCGCCCTGGGCCGGGGGAGGGGAGGCTGCAGGAAACCGCGGATCCGGAGGCGGCGAGGGCCCGGTGGGTGGCCGAGCTTCCCCGCCATGGAGAGCGCAGCGGCCCGCGAGGCCCGGGGGGCCGAGACCCCTTGTGCGCCGCCCCCGCCCCCGCCCTCGGAGCCCCCGGCCGCGCCCCGCGCCCGCCCGCGCCTGGTCTTCCGCACGCAGCTGGCGCACGGGAGCCCCACGGGCAAGATCGAGGGCTTCACCAACGTCCGCGAGCTGTACGCCAAGATCGCCGAGGCCTTCGGCATCGCGCCCACCGAGGTAAGGCTCCCGGACACCCGCGCCCACCGAGGTAAGGCTCCCGGACACCCGCGCCCACCGAGGTAAGGCTCCCGGACACCCGCGCCCGAGGCCACCCTCGTGACGGGGTGAGGAGTGGGAGACCCAGATCCCACACGTCGGGGTGGCCGCGTAATCGCCGGATCTCAGACGCACAACCCTCAGGTCCCGGGGTGTCGGACCCCCTTTGCACGCTCTGCGCAAAAGATGGGCAGGTCTTAGGGCTGGGGGACCCCTAGATATTCCAGAAGATCCCCTGCGCACACCTGGCTTGGAGCGGATCCCAGCTGCCCTCGGAAAAGCGCCCCTGCGCTTCCCGGACGTAACTGGGATCTGGGGCTCCAGGCGCCTCCAGCTTAAAGGTGGGAAGTCTGAGGCCGCTGTGGGGTGGGGGTTGGAGGGGTCCTGGGCGTTTTTCCAATCCAGGTTCCTTGGGTTTGCAGCCCCCAGGGGGCGCTAGCAGATTAAACCCGGGGCTGGAGGGCCCGGGGTCTGGACAGGGGTCTCGACCTGCCCGAAGCCTCCATCTCCCTCCTCTTTCCATTCTGGGGGTCCCATGCCCTGCCCTTTCCCATGGGCTGGGCTCCTGGTTGCTCGAGGCAGGGAGGGGCCTGCGTAGACAGGGCACTGCTCGGGGGCCGCGTGTCCTAACTCGAGGCTCCCCCTCTCCCGGGGAAAGATCTTATTCTGCACCCTCAACAGCCACAAAGTGGACATGCAGAAGCTCCTAGGGGGTCAGATAGGCCTGGAGGACTTCATCTTCGCCCACGTGCGAGGCGAGACCAAGGAGGTGGAGGTCACTAAAACGGAGGACGCTCTGGGGCTGACCATCACGGACAACGGGGCCGGCTACGCCTTCATCAAGGTGCCTGGGAGAGGGGGTGGACGGGTGGCTTCCTGGGGTCCAGCCACTGCCCCTCCTCTCCCCTCTGGGTCTACGTGGGTTCTGGGGATCCGAGGCGGGTGGCTGGGGTTGCCCCGCCAGTAGCTCTGGGTCCCCGCAGAGAATCAAGGAAGGCAGTATCATCAACCGGATCGAGGCGGTGAGCGTGGGGGACAGCATCGAAGCCATCAACGACCACTCCATCGTGGGCTGCCGCCACTACGAGGTGGCCAAGATGCTCCGGGAGCTTCCCAAGGCCCAGCCCTTCACCCTGAGGCTGGTGCAGCCCAAGAGGGCCTTCGGTGAGGCGGGTGGGAGCTCTTCCCAGACGGGTTCTACGGGTGCGTGGGGTGGAGGTGGGTGGGGGACGGGACGGGCTGGAAGGTTCTAGGTGCATCCGGCGCATGCCGAGGGGTTCTGGCATCAGAGAGAGTAGGTCATTTCCATTAACAGACTGTCATGGAGTCAGTCTGTGGGGGAGGGAGGGGGGAAAGACTGGGTGCAGACTCCCCCAACCCGGGAGGACGGGGCGTCCAGAACCACTTTGCAGCCCAGCTAGGAGCTTTTAAAGCAACACTTTGAGGTCACGGTGCCTTCTAGAGAATGGGAATGTGGGAATGGTTTCCTTTCTTTTCTTTTCTTTCTTTCTTTTTTTTTTTTTTGAGATGGAGCCTTGCTCTGTCTCCCAGGCTGGAGTGCAGTGGCGCGATCTCGGCTCACGGCAACCTCCGCCTCCCTGGTTCAAGTGATTCTCCTGCCTCGGCCTCCCGAGTAGCTGGGATTACAGGCGCGCACCACCGTGCCCGGCTAATTTTTGTGTTTTTAGTAGAGACGGGGTTTCACCATGTTGGCCAGGCTGGTCTTGAACTCCTGACCTCAGGTGATCCACCTGCCTCGGCCTCCCAAAGTGCTGGGATCACAGGCGTGAGCCACCGCGCCCGGCCTGGGGTTGGTTCTACACCTGCTCCATCACAGCAGCTTATCCTGGACTAGTGGTTTAGTTTGCTGGGGATGGGAAGAGGGGGATCTCGAATGGGTCTCTGGAGATTCGCCGCACAGACATAAAGAGGACTTTGAAGGGTAAGAAGATTCTAGAAAGGCTCAGCTGGTGGCCTCCCAGGGTTTACAAAGATGTGGATCCACCCAGAACTCATGGCCATCCGCTCACTGTTTTCTCAAGATATGATTGGCCAGAGAAGTCGGACGAGCAAATGTCCCGTAGAGGCGAAAGTGACCAGCGGGAGGGAGACCCTGCGGCTTCGTTCTGGGGGGGCCGCCTCGGTGGAGGAAGCGGTGAGTGAGGGGAGGGGTTCTTCCAAGGCTTCTGCCCCCACAGCTCTGCTGCTGAGTCAGTGCAGCCCTAGACAAGACCTCGGAGCCTCGGTTTCTCTGCCTGCAAAATGGGTCCTCATTGAAAGATGGGGCAGTGATGCTGGTGCCACCACCACTCGTGTGAGGGTCCAGTCTGCTCTTCCCTCAGGGGTGGGGGTCGGGAGGGGGCTGGGCTCGAGGGATCCAAGGGTTTTCACCCCGACTTCCCTCCCTGGTGCCTCCAGCCCAGTGAGTTTGAGGAGGAGGCGTCTCGGAAGGTTGATGACCTGCTGGAAAGCTACATGGGCATTCGGGACCCCGAGCTGGGTAAGGGGCCAGGGTAAGCCAGGGGGCCCTGGGGGGAGGGCGGCCCACGGGAGGGGGCAGGGTCCCAGCGGGAAGTGCCCTTGCTGACCACCCCTCCGGCATGGCCCGCAGCGTCCACCATGGTGGAGACGTCCAAGAAGACAGAGAGTGCCCAGGAGTTTGCGCGCTGTTTAGACTCCGTCTTGGGCGAGTTCGCCTTCCCCGACGAGTTTGTGGTGGAGGTGTGGGCCGCCATTGGAGAGGCCAGGGAGGCCTGCGGCTAGTCTGTCCCGGGGGGGCCCAGCACAGCCCCAGACCGGAGCCCAGCCCCCTGCCCCGGCCCTGCTCCAGAACCCCGCCCAGCTCGGAGGCCAAGTTCCTCTCTAGAACCCAATCCAGTTGGGAGCCCCACCCCAGCTCCAGAACCCTGCCCTTCTCTAGAATCCAGCCTAGGTCTGAGGCCAAGCTATGTGCTAGCACCCAGACCAGCTCTGAGACGAAGCCCAGCATCGAGACCAAGCCCTATTCTAGAGCCCAGGCCACCCCTGAGACAAAGCCCAGCTCTAGAACCCAGATGAGCTCTGAGACCACGCCCAGCTCCAGAACCCAGATGAGCTCTGAGGCCACGCCCAGCTCCAGAACCCAGAGGAGCTCTGAGGCCACGCCCAGCTCTAGAACCCAGATGAGCTCTGAGACCACGCCCAGCTCCAGAACCCAGATGAGGTCTGAGGCCACACCCAGCTCCAGAACCCAGATGAGCTCTGAGGCCACGCCCAGCTCTAGAACCCAGATGAGCTCTGAGGCCACGCCCAGCCCTAGAACCCAGATGAGCTCTGAGACCACGCCCAGCCCTAGAACCCAGATGAGCTCTGAGACCACGCCCAGCCCTAGAACCCAGATGAGCTCTGAGACCACGCCCAGCTCTAGAACTCGCATGAGCTCTGAGACCATGCCCAGCCCTAGAATCCACAGGAGTTCTGAGACCAAGCCCAGCATTGAGACCAAGCCCTGTTCTAAAACTCAGACCAGCTCTGAGGCCACGCCCAGCCCTAGAACCCAGATGAGCTCTGAGACCACGCCCAGCCCTAGAACCCAGATGAGCTCTGAGACCACGCCCAGCTCTAGAACCCAGATGAGCTCTGAGACCACGCCCAACTCCAGAACCCAGATGAGGACTGAGACCACGCCCAGCTCCAGAACCCAGATGAGGTCTGAGGCCACGCCCAGCTCTAGAACCCGGATGAGCTCTGAGGCCACGCCCAGCTCTAGAACCCGGATGAGCTCTGAGGCCACGCCCAGCTCTAGAACCCAGATGAGGTCTGAGGCCACGCCCAGCTCTAGAACCCAGATGAGCTCTGAGACCACGCCCAGCTCCAGAACCCAGATGAGGTCTGAGACCACGCCCAGCTCTAGAACCCAGATGAGCTCTGAGACCACGCCCAGCTCCAGAACCCAGATGAGGACTGAGACCACGCCCAGCTCCAGAACCCAGATGAGCTCTGAGGCCACGCCCAGCTCCAGAACCCAGATGAGCTCTGAGGCCACGCCCAGCTCTAGAACCCGGATGAGCTCTGAGGCCACGCCCAGCTCTAGAACCCGGATGAGCTCTGAGGCCACGCCCAGCTCTAGAACCCGGATGAGCTCTGAGGCCACGCCCAGCTCTAGAACCCGGATGAGCTCTGAGGCCACGCCCAGCTCTAGAACCCGGATGAGCTCTGAGGCCACGCCCAGCTCTAGAACCCGGATGAGCTCTGAGGCCACGCCCAGCTCTAGAACCCAGAGGAGCTCTGAGGCCACGCCCAGCTCTAGAACCCAGATGAGGTCTGAGGCCACGCCCAGCTCTAGAACCCAGATGAGGTCTGAGGCCACGCCCAGCTCTAGAACCCAGCTGAGCCCTGATATCAAGCCTAGCTCTGGAATGCAGACACATTTTAAGACCCAGGCCAGCTTGGAGATGAATCCTGGTTCCAGAATCCAGGCCAGCTTGGAGGCCAAGCCCTACCGGAACACGCAGACAGACTCTGGAACTCTGGACTCTCGGTCTAGCTCCAGAACCCCAGTTAACTTTGGAACCCACGTAAGATTCATGAAGCAGCCCAGCTCTGGAACCCCAGCCAGCTCAGGATTCAGAGACAGCTTCCAAATCAAACCGTATTCAAGAACTCACACCAGCTCAGAAACCCAGACCAACGCAGCTGCCCAGTCCAGATTCCAGCCCCAGCCCTGCTCTAAAACCCAGCTGCATGCAAGCACCCATCCGTATCCTGCCGCCCGGTCCAGCTCCAGTGATGATTCCAGCTCTGAGACTGAGCCCAGCTCTAGAACCTCACCTAGTGCTACAACCAGGTCCACCTCCAGGATTCAGACCAGCTCTGGAACGCGGTCCATCTCGGAAGCAGGGCCCAGCTCCGGCACACAGCTTGGTGCTGAGCCCCACTCTCCCAGCAGAACGCAGATCAGCTCTAGAATGCAGTTTGCTTCCGGGACTCAGACTAATTTCAAGGCCTGGCCAAGCTCCAGAGCTCAACCCAGCCTGGGCACCGCAGCCGACTCTAGAACTCGTCTCAGTTCTGCAGCACAGACTGGTTCTAAAATCCCAGCCAGCACCAAGACAGTGGCCGAGACCCAACCACACTCCAGAATCCAGCTAAACTCTGGAGTCCGGTCTAGTCCTGGGACCCAGGACCCTGCAGCAGGAGAGTTAAGGTCTGCGGCCCTGTCTAGTTCCGACAGCAGGCCCAGCTCCAGGATCCAGCGCTGCCCAGGAGTTCAACCAACCTCGGGGACTCAACTCACCTCTGGAACCCTGCCAGGTTCTAGATACCAGCTCCAGAGCACAACCCCAGACAGCTCTGGTATTCGACCGGGCTTTGGGAAGCAGACCAGCTCTGGGACCCAGCTCAGCTGTAGAACCCACGTCAGTCCTGGGATTCAGTCCAGCTCTGAAACCCAGACCAGCTCGAGAATTCAGCCTGATCCTGGAGCCCACCTTAGCTCCGGAACCCAGTCCAGCACTGAGACCGGGCCCAGCTCCAGAATTCAGCCCGATCCTGGAGCCCACCTTAGCTCCGGAACCCAGTCCAGCACTGAGACCGGGCCCAGCTCCAGAATCCAGCCCAGCCCTGGAGCCCACCTTAGCTCCGGAACCCAGTCCAGCACTGAGACCGGGCCCAGCTCCAGAATTCAGCCCAGCCCTGGAGCCCACCTTAGCTCCGGAACCCAGTCCAGCTCCAGCACTCATACCAGTTCAAGAATCTGGCTGAGCCCTAGAAATGGGCTCTGTTCACAGACCCCTGGCCTTGACCCTAGAATTCAGCTTGAGGCCCCGGCCCCAGCCCGACCTCAGCCCCCAGGCCCACCCCCCAGAACCCCCACCACAACCCCTAGCAGAGACCCCCAGCCTCTGCCTCAGCCCCATGATAAGGTCCATGGCACCCAGGTCAGCCCTGGCCCCATTCCAGGCTCACCCCTGGCCCCTCAGCCACAGGCCTCCTCAACCCCCCAAAAGCCAGCCCTCCCTCCAAAGCCTGAGCTGGGACCCCAGAAGTCCACCCCACCCACCGTATCTGTCTCAGCCCCACCCCCAGGGCAGCCCTCCTGAGTTCCCACCCTTCTGAGTCCCCAGCTCTGGTTCCTGCCCCTTCCCCCACTCTGGGGAAACCAGGACCCCTCCATTACCGCAGGGGGCTGTAGACTGGGGGTGACTTAGCCCTGGTTCCTGTGGTTCCCATCCTCTCCTGTCCCTCAGCTGGTTCCCCCGGAAGCAGCAAGTGACCTTATATTCCCAGCAGGTAGTGGCGGGGGTGGGGCGGGGTACGGTGGTAGAATTGGGGGCTTCGGTTTCACCAGGCCTGGCTCACATCCAGGTCCTGGGAGGGAGAAGGAGGGTAGGAGACAATCTGCCCCACGTGTACCCTGAGGCTCATGGTGAATAAAGGCGCCTCCCATCTCTGCAGCCTCCTATGTCATTTTGCCGGGAATTAGGGGGAACACAGAGATGTGGGGCTGGGGCTGCTGGCTGAAACTACGCTGAGCACCTCCTGACCACCTACTATGTGCCAAGCACTTCATTAAGCACCACGTGGGCATGAGCTTTTGTGCCTGCACACGACGGGTGCTCCATGAAGACCCAGACGTTGGGACTCTCACTCCATCGCTCGGGCTGGAGTGCAGTGGCACAGTCTCAGCTCACTGCAACCTCCGCCTCCCGGGTTCAAGTGATTCTCCTGTCTAGGCCTCCCAAGTAGCTGGGACTACAGGTGTCCACCACCAAGCCTGGCTAATTTTTTGTATTTTTAGCAGAGATGGGGTTTCACCATTTTGACCAGGATGGTCTCGATCTCTTGACCTCGTGATCCACCCGCCTCGGCCTCCCAAAGTGCTGGGATTACAGGCTTGAGCCACAGCGCCTGGCCTACTCACTTTTTTTTAAGTGGAGTCTCGCTCTGTCACCAGGCTGGAGTGCAATGGCGAGATCTCGGCTCACTGCAATCTTCGCCTCCCAGGTTCATGCCATTCTCCTGCCTCGGCCTCCCGAGTAGCTGGGACTACAGGCGCGTGCCAACACACCTGGCTAGTTTTTGTATTTTTAGTAGAGACGAGGTTTCACCACGTTGGCCAAGATGGTCTCAGTCTCTTGACCTCGTGATCCACCCGCCTCGGCCTCCCAACCTGCTGGGATTACAGGTGTGCACCACTGCGCCCGGCCCACCCACTTTTAATAACATGTAGATTCCTGGCCGGGCACGGTGGCTCACGTGCCAGGAGATCGAGACCATTCTGGCCAACGTGGTGAAACCCTGCCTCTACTAAAAACACAAAAATTAGCTGGGCCTGTAGTCCCAGCTACTTGGGAGGCTGAGAGGCAGGCGAATGGCTTGAACCGGGGAGGTGGCAGTTGCAGTGAGCCGAGATCGCGCCACCGCACTCCAGCCTGGAGACAGGGCAAGACTCTGTCTCAAACTCACTCACTAAATACAATACGGAGATTCAAGGATGGTCTGAATGCAGACTTCAGGGCTAGCCCTCCTGCTACAGGTTCCGGGGAGAATTCTAGGCAGTGCGGCCCATCGGGTGATTAGGAAACACGGAATCTACAAGGGGAGGAGCAGCCACTTCCCCTCTGCCCCTCTGCAGCCTCCCCAGCCCTGCCCTCCTCTGCCCTGGGCGAGGTCCTGTGCACAAAACGCCAGAGACTGATGGCTTTTGGACCCAAAGGAAAATAAAACCAAAGACAGAGATATATTTTGGCAAGAGAAGGGGGGTGCCCCGTTCACATGCAGCCCTTTCTGGACACAGGCTTCCCGGCTGGGGGTTCAAAAGGAAGCAACTGTACCCCAGCAAGCAGGTCGAATTGAGGGTCACGGAGCAACGCAAGGCCGGGTGCGGTGACGCACACCTGTGGTCCCAGCTGCTCGGGAGGCTGAGGCACAAGAATCGCTTGAACCCAGGAGGCGGAGGTTGCAGTGAGTTGAGATCGCGCCACTGCACTCCAGCCTGGTGACAGAGCGAGACTCCATCTCCTAAAGAAAAAAAAAAAAAAAAAAAAAACGCTGGGTGCAATGGCTCACGCCTGTAAATCCCAGCACTTTGGGAGGCCGAAGTGGGAAGATCACTTGAGGTCAGGAGTTTGAGACCAGCCTGGCCAACACAGTGAAACCCCGTCTCTACTAAAAATACAAAAATTAGCCGGGCGTGGTGGCAGGCGCCGGTAATCCCAGTTACTCGGGAGGCTGAGGCAGGGGAATTGCTTGAACCTGGGAGGCGGAGGTTGCAGTGAGGGGAGATCACCCCACTGCACTCCAGCCTGGGCGACAGACCAAGACTCTGTCTCACAAAAAAACAGCAATGCAAGACCCTCTGCCAATGTCCCCATGCCCCTCCTGGGGTTCGGGGGACAGCAGAGGAGGGGTGGGAGCTCCGGATGGGAAAAGGGGGACGAGGGAGGGAGAGATCTTGGTAAAAGGATCGGGGAGGAGTTGCGGGTCCGCAGTTTGGATTAGGGTCACCCCAAACCCTGTTGCTGATGCCCACTGTCCATCCAGCACCCCCAGCTCTGAGACCCTCAGAACAGGCAGAAGGGCCATCGGAGGGGACCCAGGGCTCCTCGGGGACGTGCGGGAGGGGCGGTCCCTCCGGTTCCTACTGCAGCCTGGAGCCCTGTGTCAGCTGGGGCTGGAGGGATAGCGACCTGGGCCGGGTGCTGAGGCGAGGCTGGAGGCGCCGGATCACCGCGCGGCGGAACAGGATGTACACCCAGGGGTCCAGGATCTGGTTCCAGGTGGCCACTCGCAGGTAGATGAGCAGCTCCTGCTCCGTGGCGCGGGACAGTTGCCCCGCAGGGCTCATGGCAGGTGGGCTCCGCAGCACCGTCTGGGCAATGAAGACCTGCAGAGGGCAAAGCTGTTAGCCAGGACCCAGCCTGCAGCCCCGCCGGCCCGTTCCTGCCCAGCACCTTCTAGCCCCTGAGTTCCAAGGTGCAGTTTCCATGTTGGTCAGGCTGGTCTTGAACTCCCGACCTCAGGTTATCCACCTGCCTTGGCCTCCAAAGAGCTTGGATTACAGGCGTGAGCCAGCACGCCCAGCCTTTTTAATTTAATTTAACTTAATTTAATTTTTAGACAGAGTCTGGCTCTGTCGCTCAGGCTGCAGTGCAGTGGTGTGATGTCAGCTCACTGTAACCGCCGCCTCCCAGGTTCAAGCAATTCTCCTGCCTCAGCCTCCTGAGTAGCTGGGACTCCAGGTGCTTGCCAGCACACCTGGCTAACGTTTATATTTTTAGTAGAGACTGGGTTTCACCACATTGGCCAGGCTGGTCTTGAACTCCTGACCTCAAGTGATCTGCCCACCTCAGCCTTCTAGAGTGCTGGGATTACAGGCATGAGCCACCGCGCCTGACCAGTGTGTTACTGCATTGCTGGGTGACCTCAGGCAAGTTACTTAACCTCTCTGAGCTCCTTTTGATGGGACCATGAATTAGCACAGGCTTAGCCAGGCAGTGGGTCGCAGGTCAATGCCGGTCAATGGGGAGGATCACTTGAGCCCAGGAGTTCAAGACCAGCTTAGGCAAATATAGATCGTATGCCTACAAAAGGTAGAAATAAATGAAAAAGTTACCGGGCATGGTGACACTCCAGCCTGGGTGACAGAGGAAGAGCCTGTCTCAAAATAAATAAATAACATTTTCATTTTTATTATATTTATTTATTTATTTTTAAAGATGGGGTTTCACCATGATGGCCAGGCTGGTCTTGAACTCCTGACCTCAGGTGATCCACCCGCCTCGGCCTCCCAAAGTGCTGGGATTACAGGCATGAGCCACCACGCCCGGCCCTTTTCTTCTTTTTTATTTTGTGATGGAGTTTTATTCTTCTTGCCCAGGCTGGAGTGCAATGGTGCGATCTCGGCTCACTGTAACCTCCACTTCCCGGGTTCAGGCAATTCTCCTGCTTCAGCCTCCCGAGTAGCTGGGATTACAGGCAGGCGCCACCATGCCCAGCTAATTTTTTGTATTTTTAGCAGAGACGGGGTTTCACCATGTTGATCAGGATGGTCTTGATCTCTTGACCTCGTGATCCACCCGCCTCGGCTTCCCAAAGTGCTGGGATTACCGGCGTGAGCCACCACACCTGGCCTATACATATACATTTTTTTTTTTTTTGAGATGGAATCTCCCTCTGTCACCCAGGCTGCAGTGCAGTGGTGTGATCTCAGCTCTCTGCAACCTCCGCCTCCCAGGTTCAAGTAATCCTCCCACCTGAGTCTCCCCAGTAGCTGGGATTACAGGTGCCCACCACCACACCCAGCTAATGTTTTGCATTTTTAATAGAGACGGGGTTTTCACTATTTTGGCCAAGCTGGTCTCGAACTCCTGGCCTCAAGTGATCCACCTGCCTCGGCCTCCCAAAGTGCTGGGATTAGAGAAGTGGGTCGCCGCATCCGGCCAAAATAACTTATATTACATTAGAATGCATTACTGTATTCAAATCATTTCCTGGGCCAGGCCTGGTGGCTCACACCTGTAATCCCAGCACTTTGGGATTACGGGGGAATCGCTTGAACCTGGGAGGTGAGGTTGCAGTGAGCCAAGATGGCACCACCTCATTTCAGCCCGGGCCACAGTCCAGCAGGGTCTCAAAAAAAAAAAAAAAAAAAAATAGGGCTGGTCACCGTGTCTCACCCCTGTAATCCCAGCACTTTGGGAGGCCAAGGTGGGTGGATCACGAGGTCAGGAGTTTGAGACCAGCCTGGCCAACACGGTGAAACCCCGTCTCTACTAAAAATACAAAAACTAGCCAGGCGTGGTGGCGCGTGCCTGTAATCCCAGCTACTTGGGAGACTGAGGCAGGAGAATCGCTTGAACCCGGGAGGTGGAGGTTGTGGAGGGCTGAGATCGCGCCATCACACTCCGGCCTGGGGAACAAGAGTGAAACTCCGTCTCAAAAACATTAAAATAAATAAATAAAATCATTTCCTGAGCATCTACTGTATGCTGGGTGAAGCTGAGGACAGAACAGTGGCCAACAGAGTCCAGGACACACCGTCATAGGCTCACAGTCCGGTCAGGAGATGGACACCCGGCCCAGGGGTTACAGCATGGGGTGGGCAAAGCTGTGACCGGAAAGCAGCGTCAGAGCCCCGAGAAGGTTCCTGACCCGGCCTGTGGAAGTCGCCGAAGGGCAAATCGGAGGGGGCCAGGTTTGTCTGCAGGAAGTGCCTGTGAGAACGTTCTTCATAGGGCAATAGGGAGCCATGGGCGGGTTTAGAGTAAGGGTCAACCGACCGGCCAATTCCAGCCTGACACTTGCTTTGGGTTTTTGCTTTTCTTGTTTTGTTTTTTTCTTTTTCTTTCTTTCTTTTTTCTTTTTTCTGAGATGGAGTCTTGCTCTGTCACCTGGGCTGGAGTGCAGTGGTGCAATCTCGGCCCGCTGCAACCTCTGCCTCCTGGGCTCAAGCAATTCTCCTGCCTCATCCTCCCAAGTAGCTGGGACTACAGGCGCGCACCACCGCACACAAAAAATACAGAATATTTGTATTTTTTTTACCACGTTGGCCAGGCTGGTCTTGAACTCCTGACCTCGGGTGATCTGCCTGCCTCAGCCTCTCAAAGTGCTGGGATTACAAGTGTGAGCCACTGTGCCTGGCCTGTTTGCTTTTTCTAAGAATGTCTTTCCATGTTTAAATGCTTAGAAGAAAAAAAAATAGAGGCAAAAATTGAGTGACATAAAAATGACAAGAAATTCAACTATCAGCATTCAATGATCAGTAAAGTTTTACTGGCTACAGCCACGCCCACTCCTTTACGTGTTTCCTGTGCTGGCTTTCAACTCGTGTGTGTGTGTGTGTGTGGTGTGTGTGTGTGTGTGGTGTGTGTGTGTGTGTGGTGTGTGTGGGTGTGTGGTGTGTGTGTGGTGTGTGTGGGTGTGTGGTGTGTGTGGTGTGTGTGTGGTGTGTGTGTGTGGTGTGTGTGTGTGTGTGGTGTGTGTGGGTGTGTGGTGTGTGTGTGTGTGGTGTGTGTGGGTGTGTGTGTGTGGTGTGTGTGTGTGTGGTGTGTGTGTGGTGTGTGTGTGTGGTGTGTGTGTGTGTGTGGTGTGTGTGGGTGTGTGTGTGTGGTGTGTGTGTGTGTGGTGTGTGTGTGTGGTGTGTGTGTGTGGTGTGTGTGTGGTGTGTGTGGGTGTGGTGTGTGTGGTGTGTGTGGGTGTGTGGTGTGTGTGTGTGTGGTGTGTGTGTGTGTGTGGTGTGTGTGGTGTGTGTGTGGTGTGTGTGTGTGTGGTGTGTGTGTGGTGTGTGTGTGTGGTGTGTGTGTGTGGTGTGTGTGTGTGGTGTGTGTGTGGTGTGTGTGTGGTGTGTGTGTGTGTGGTGTGTGTGTGGTGTGTGTCTGGTGTGTGGTGTGTGTGGTTGTGTGTGTGGTGTGTGTGGTGTGTGTGTGGTGTGTCTGGTGTGTGGTGTGTGTGTGTGTGGTGTGTGTGTGTGGTGTGTGTGTGGTGTGTGTGTGTGGTGTGTGTGGTGTGTGTGTGGTGTGTGTGTGTGGTGTGTGTGTGTGGTGTGTGTGTGGTGTGTGTGGTGTGTGTGTGTGTGGTGTGTGTGGTGTGTGTCTGGTGTGTGGTGTGTGTGGTGTGTGTGTGTGGTGTGTGTGGTGTGTGTGTGGTGTGTCTGGTGTGTGGTGTGTGTGTGTGTGGTGTGTGTGTGGTGTGTGTGTGTGGTGTGTGTGTGGGGTGTGTGTGTGGTGTGTGTGTGGGGTGTGTGTGTGTGTGTGGTGTGTGTGTGTGGTGTGTGTGTGTGTGGTGTGTGTGTGTGTGGTGTGTGTGTGTGTGTGGTGTGTGTGGGTGTGTGGTGTGTGTGTGGTGTGTGTGGGTGTGTGGTGTGTGTGGTGTGTGTGTGTGGTGTGTGTGTGTGGTGTGTGTGTGTGTGTGGTGTGTGTGGGTGTGTGGTGTGTGTGTGTGTGGTGTGTGTGTGTGTGTGGTGTGTGTGTGTGGTGTGTGTGTGTGTGTGGTGTGTGTGTGTGGTGTGTGTGTGGTGTGTGTGTGTGTGGTGTGTGTGTGGTGTGTGTGTGGTGTGTGTGTGGTGTGTGTGTGTGGTGTGTGTGGTGTGTGTGGTGTGTGTGTGTGGTGTGTGTGTGTGGTGTGTGTGTGTGGTGTGTGTGTGGTGTGTGTGGTGTGTGTGTGTGTGGTGTGTGTGTGGTGTGTGTCTGGTGTGTGGTGTGTGTGGTGTGTGTGTGTGTGGTGTGTGTGGTGTGTGTGTGGTGTGTCTGGTGTGTGGTGTGTGTGTGTGTGGTGTGTGTGTGTGGTGTGTGGTGTGTGTGTGTGTGGTGTGTGTGTGTGTGGTGTGTGTGTGTGTGTGTGTGTGTGTGGACAGTTTTGCTCTTGCCCAGGCTGGAGTGCAGTGGCACAGTCTCAGCTCATCGCAACCTCTGCCTCCCTGGTTCAAGTGATTCTCCTGCCTCAGCCTCCTGAGTAGCTGGAATGAAGGCGGCCACCACACCCGGCTAATTTTTGTATTTTTAGTAGAGACGGGGTTTCACCATGTTGGCCAGGCTGGTCTCGAACTCCTGACCTTGTGATCCACCTGCCTCAGCCTCCACAGTGTTGAGAATACAGGTGTGAGCCAGCGCGCCCGGCCTTTTTTTTTCTTTTGGGAATACAGTGGTGCGATCACAGCTCACTGCAGCCTCCACCTCTAGGCTCCAGCAATCCTCCTGCCTTGACCCCTCGAGGTGCTGGGATTACAGGCACCTGCCCCCGTGTCCGGCTAATTTTTCTTTTTTTTTTTTTTTTGAGACGGAGTTTCGCTCTTGTTCCCCAGGCTGGAGTGCAATGGCGCGATCTCGGCTCACCGCAACCTCCGCCTCCTGGGTTCAAGCAATTCTCCTGCCTCAGTCTCCCGAGTAGCTGGGATTACAGGCACGTGCCACCGTGCCCAGCTAATTTTTGTATTTTTAGTAGAGACGGGGTTTCACCATGTTGACCAGGATGGTCTCGATCTCTTGACCTCGTGATCCACCTGCCTCGGTCTCCCAAAGTGGTGGGATTATAGGCTTGAGCCACCGCGCCCGGCCCATCGCCAGGGTTTATATCCACCCTGGGTGACCGGAGGCCCGGTCAGGAGGGTAGCAGGACGCCGCAGAGCTCCGCCACTCACCAGCAGGGGCAGCCAACACACGCTGGCCACCACCATGATCCCCAGGAGCTGGGCCATCATCTCCACCTCGCTGTCCCGGGGGCGCTGCTGGGCCGCCTCCTGCCCGTGGTAGACGTGGCACAGGGTGGCCACGCTGACCGTGTTCAACACGAAAGACAGTCCGACCGAGAGGCCGCCCAGCATGGCGAAGAGCAGCCCGAACGCCACGTCCCCGGGCTCGGTGCCCAGCGTCAGGAAGCACCAGGAGCCCGGGTACTGCACGGTGTAGCGGCCCAGGCCCAGCAGGGGCAGCAGGCCCAGTGCCAGCGCGGCCGCCCACACCAGCCCCACGGTGGCCCAGGCGCGGCGCTGCGAGGTGACCGCCGGGCGGGAGAAGGGCCGGGTGATGCCCAGGTAGCGCTCCGAGGCCATGGTGGCCCCCAGCAGCAGCGGGCACAGGCCGAAGAAGACCATGACGACGCCCATGAAGCGGCAGAGGCGGCAGCTGGGGTCCACGGCGTGCCACTCCAGGAGTGCGGCGTGCTGGGACACCACGATGATGCCCGTCACCAGCAGCCCCAGGAAGTCGGTGAGCACGAGGCCGCAGAGGAAGGTGAGGAAGGAGGAGCGCGGGTGTGAGCCCCCCTGCCGGGCACCCGCCAGCACGCTCAGGGCCAGCAGGTTGGAGGCCAGGCCCACCACGCAGAAGGAGGCGGCGAACCAGGGCGAGGCGATCAGCCGCCGCTCCTCCAGGGTGATGTTCGTGGGCCGGAAACAGGGCCCCAGGGAACTGCCGTTGGGCCACATGGCTCCGGAGCCCTGCGGGATCAGTCACCACCCCATCAGTCCAGGCCGAGGCTGCAGACGGGGCTGGCTGGCACCGGTTCAGGCACACCACACCTGAGAGGCAAGAGAAAGATTTGCTTGTAGTTCTGCATTTCAGCGTAAGTAGCGCTGGTGAACTCCTATACGACCTTCAATGCCCCAACTCAAATATCCCTTCCTTGTTTTTTGTTTCGTTTTGCTTTTGAGACAGAGTCTTGCTCTGTCACCCAGGCTGGAGTGCCATGGTGCCATCAAGGCTGACTGTAGCCTCAACCTCTGGACCCCCATGATCCTTCCATCTCAGCCTCCCAAATAGCTGGGACTATAGGCATGTACCACTCTACCTGGCTGATTTCTTATTTTTATTTTTTGGTAGAAATGGAGGGGGGTGGTGTCTCCCTGTGTTGCCCAGGCTGGTCTTGAATTCCTGAGCTCAAGCGATCCTCCTGCCTCAACCTCCCAAAGTGCTGGGATTACAGGTGGGCTGCATCACCATGCTTAGCTTAATTTTTATTTTTATTTATTGTAAAAACAGGGTCTCACTATGTTGCCCAGGCTGGTCTTGAACTCCTGGCCCCAGATATTGCCTCCCTGAGGAAGCCTTTCCCGACTTAGCTCCGTCTCCACCCAGAGAGTATTCCCACTGTTCCTGCGATGAGGTCCACCATTGTGCTCTTACTACCTCTGGACTTGTCAAGGGTAAAGACCAAGGCCATGTTTTCCAGGGTCCGTGGAGGACACCAGGAAGTATTTGTGGGTCCCAGAGATGGGCTGACGAGCCCTAGATTTGAACTCTAGCCCTGGTGCTCATTATGTCACCTCAGGCAAGTGATTGCTACTCTCTGTGCCTCAGTTTCCCCATTGGTCACCTATCCACGCCCTGGGCAGATCGCAGACCCTAGAACACATTTCAGCCATTGTGAAACAGATATTCTGACACTGGCTGGGTGTGGTGGCTGAGGCCTGTATCCCCAGCACTTTGGGAGGCTAAGACAGGAGGATCGCCTGAGCCCAGGAGTTCAAGACCTGCCTGGGCAATGTAGCAAGACCCCGTCTCTACAAATAATACAGAAATTAGCCTGGCTTCGTGTGTGTCCATAGTCCTAGCTATTCGGGAGGCTGAGGTGGGAGGATCGCTTGAGCCCGGGAGGTCGAGGCTGTAGTGAGCCGTGATCGTGCCACTGCACTCCAGCCTGGGAGACAGAGCAAGACCCGGTCCAGTGTCAGCAGGGAGGGTGGGTAGGCAGCGGCTGGCCAAGAGTCTCTGGTTCTCACTCGGACTTGGAGGTCAACTTTGAGTCACAATGTGTTGTGACCGTGGCCCAAGCTCGCTGGCATTTTAGGGGGAACCAGGATCTTTTGTCCCCACACGTCAGAACTGTGTGGATTCCTTTTTTTCCATTTTTTTTTTTGTAGAGAAGAGTCTCATTCCGTTGCCCGGCGCCAGGCTGGAGTGCAATGGCGCGATCTCGGCTCACCGCAACCTCCGCCTCCTGGGTTCAGGCAATTCTCCTGCCTCAGCCTCCCGAGTAGCTGGGAATACAGGCACGCGCCACCACGCCCAGCTAATTTTTGTATTCTTAGTACAGACGGGGTTTCACCATGTTGGCCAGGCTGGTCTCGATCTCTTGACCTTGTGATCCACCCTCCTCAGCCTCCCAAAATGCTGGGATTACAGGCGTGAGCCTCCACACCGGGCTCTTTTTTTTTTTTTTTTTTTTTGAGAAGGAGCTTCGCTTTTGTTGCCCAGGCTGGAGTGCAGTGGATCCCTCTCAGCTCACTGCAACCTCCACCTCCTGGGTTCAGGCAATTCTCCTACCTCAGCCTCCTGAGTAGCTGGGATTACAGGCACGTGTCACCGTGCCCAGCTAATTTATTATTATTATTATTATTATTATTATTATTATTTTTAATGGTGGGGTTTCACCATGACGGCCAGGCTGCTCTTGAACTCCCAACCTCAGGTGATCCACCCGCCTCGGCCTCCCAAAGTGCTGGGATTACAGGCGTGGGCTATTGCACGCAGCCTTTTTTCCCCTCCATTTTCGTGGTGTCGCTTTTATAATAAGAAATAGACCCTGAAATCCAGTTCTATTTTGGGAACAAAAAACACAGCTTCTTTGGAGTGAGGTTCCCCAGGGACAGGCTGTAGACAGTGGTGGGGGGAGACCCGTTCCCCGGTGTGGGGCTAATGCCCAGCCACCCTACATAACAAAATCGGACCCCATCCTGGTGCGGTGGCTCACGCTCTCATACCGGCACTTTGGGAGGCCAAAGCGGGCAGATCACTTGAGGTGAGGGGTTTGAGATCAGCCTGGCCAACGTAGTGAGATCCTATCTCTAAAAAAAAAAAGTACCTGGCTCCAGTGGTATTTGCCTGTAATCCCAGGTACTCGGGAGGCTGAGGCAGGAGGATCCCTTGAGCCCTGATGTCAAGGCCGTAGTGAGCTATGATTGTGCCACTGCACTCCTGTCTCAAAAAAAAAGACCCAAAAACCAAAAACTGGGGCCAGATTTGATGAGTGAAGTGAAAATAAAATAAGGTGTTTCCGAATCCAGCTCCAGCCACGTGCGGTGGCTCACACCTGTGATCCTAGCGCTTTGGGAGGTCAGGGTGGGAGGATCACCTGAGGTCAGGTGTTCGAAACCAGTCTGGCCAACATGCTGAAACCTCATCTTGACTAAAAACACAAAACGTAGCCGGGCGTGGTGGTGGGTGCCTGTAATCCCAGCTATTCGGGAGGCTGAGGCGGGAGAATCACTTGAACCCGGGAGGCGGAGGTTGCAGTGAGCCGAGATGGTGCCACTGCACTCCAGCCTGGTGACAGAGCGGGACTCCATCTCAAGAAAAAGAAAAAGGGCCGGGCGCCGTGGCTCACGCCTGTATAATCCAAGCACTTTGGAGGCCAAGGCGGGTGCATCACCTGAGGTCAGGAGTTCGAGACCAGCCTGACCAACATGGCAAATCCCCGTCTCTGGCAAAAAATAAATATACACAAAAATTAGCCGGGTGTGGTGGCGCGTGCCTGTGATCCCAGCTACTCTGGACGCCAAGCTGGAGGCTGAGGCAGGAGAATCTCCCGAACCTGGGAGGTGGAGGTTACAGTGAGCTGAGATGGCGCCACTGCACTCCAGCCTGGGCAACAAGTGCAAAATTCCATCTCAGAAAAAAGTAAATAAATATATAAAACAAAACGAGAACGTCCTGTTAGGATCCTCATTTTGCAGATGGTGAAACTGAGGCACGGGGAAGTTAAGTTGCTTATCTAACTAAGGTCATGCGTGACACCTGGCTGGAGCGGATCTGAGATTTTACTTATTTTTTATTTATTTTTCTCTTTTTTGAGACGGAGTTTCGCTCTCGTTACCCAGGCTGGAGTGCAATGGCGCGATCTCGGCTCACCGCAACCTCCGCCTCCTGGGTTCAGGCAATTCTCCTGCCTCAGCCTCCTGGGCCGGGCGCGGTATCGCACGCCTGTAATCCCAGCATTTTGGGAGGCCGAGGTGGGTGGATCACCGGAGGTCGGGGGTTTGAGACCAGCCTGACCAACATGGAGAAATCCCATTTCTACTAAAAATACAAAATTAGCTGGACGTGGTGGTGCGCGCCTGTAATCGCAGCTACTCGGGAGGCTGAGGCAGGAGAATCGTTTGAACCCAGAGGCTGAGGCAGGAGAATTGGCTGAACCTGGGAGGCGGAGGCCGAGGCAGGAGAATCGTTTGAACCCGGAGGCTGAGGCAGGAGAATTGGCTGAACCTGGGAGGCGGAGGCCGAGGCAGGAGAATCGTTTGAACCCGGAGGCTGAGGCAGGAGAATTGGCTGAACCTGGGAGGCGGAGGCCGAGGCAGGAGAATCGTTTGAACCCAGAGGCTGAGGCAGGAGAATTGGCTGAACCTGGGAGGCGGAGGCCGAGGCAGGAGAATCGTTTGAACCCGGAGGCTGAGGCAGGCTGAACCTGGGAGGCGGAGGCTGTGGTGAGCTGTGATTTCGCCACCGCACTCCAGATTGGGTGAGGAGAGCGAAACTCAAAAGCAACAAAAAACAGAGTGCTGGTGACGGGGATGCAGTGGCCCCCGTGAAGTGCTCAGCACACCACAGTCACGCTCAGTGCACGCTGGCCTGGAGGCCCCTGCCTTGCGGGCCGCACGGTTCACACGTCTGGAGCGGCCAGATGGGGGTCTGCGGCCCAGATGCCGGGCTTGGCTATGCTTGATCCAGGCTCATGAATTATCCAGCTCCTGACAGCGGCATTGAGCTCCCTTCCAGGGGGGACAGCTAAGGCCACTGCCGCCTTGGTGGGAGGCGGGGCTTCCAGAGGGGAAACTGAGGCCTGGAGTGCCGATGAGGTGGTGGTGGGGGTGGCGCTCCTCGAGGCCTCTGGCGATCGTCGCCCTCCACCCCACGCTGCTTTGCCGCCTGGGATTTGGATCCCTGCGCTTGGATTTCCCCTGGACAGGGCGCTCCTCCCTTGAGAGCTGGTACGTGTTTCTGAACATTCCTGGGACGTTGGCTGTCCCTGCGGCCACCGCCCCGGCCACAGCCTCTGCCTGGAGTAGCCTCCAGTCCCTGCTGGGTCTCATGGTCTCCTTGACCACACTGTACTCTACTCACGGGGGTCACACACCGGGGATGTCCTCACACCTCCCTCACAGCTCCCAAGAGTAAAGGCTCTTGGCCCCGGGGAGTCTGGAAACTGGCACTGAGTCCTTCTGGCCATAGATGGCAGTTTCCAGTCCCCCCGCCTCCACTCCCCACGCCGGGTTCAGGTGAGAGCAACCGTCTCAGGTTCTCCAGGCAAGGAGGCCAATAGGGGACCTGGCAGGGCCTCCCTTCCCTCCCACATTGGCCAGGAGGGGTGGCAGGGCCCCCACACAGCAGGGGACCACAGCAGCACTATGCGGCTTTTGCAGAAACGACTGCCCCTGTGCCTGGGGGGAGGTGTGGACCCAAGATCCGTCTTCCACGCTGAGTAAGTGCAGAATTTTGCAGCCTGAGAACCGAGTTGCCCTTAGCAAACCTCGAGGTTTCTGGAATTCTAACGAGCTTCCAGTCCTGGAATCCAGGAGGCCTGGATTCTAGAATCCCAAGAGGCTGATTCTGATGGGAGTCTGGCTGGGTCCTGGGTTCCAGGAGGCTCTGCCCTAGCTCCTGGCTGCTTTCTGGAGGGCGGACAGTGAGTTCTCCGTCCCCGGATGCCACCCGAGGCCTGGGTGCTGGGCTGGGCATGGGCACCCGGCTTGGCTCACCCATGCGTGGCTGCCAGTGGAATGGAGCCTCCTCCATCCTCGAAGGCCCGCCCTCCTCCTCCTCCCCGCTCATCATCCATCCATTTCTCAGCAAGTCCCCTCCCCTCATCCCCCACCCTGCCTGCCTGTCCCCCGGCCTGGCCCGCCCCAACCCCCGCTACACAGGCTTGGAGGCTCTAGTCCCCGATCTGCCACTGCCAGGCTGGGGCTCCACCTTGCTGGGCCTCAGTTTCCCTGCTCTGTGCAATGGGGGTGAGATTCTGATCCCCAGGCCTCCCTGGCTCTCACCTCCGCAGGTCGCCTGCGCTGACCTCCTAGCTCAGCTCCCTGCAGGGTGACCAGGCAGCCAGGCGGGAGCCCTGAGGCTCCCTGACACCAGGTCGGCCTCAGACCTTGGATCCACAGGGTTCTTCTGGGCCTGAAGCGTCAGGGACCAGGCCAGACCCTCCCATGCCTGCTGTGGATGTGAAGGCCTGTGTGCGTGGACCCCGCACCGGCGCCGAGGCAGACACACTCCACACCCTTGGGGGCCCACCGCCCTTCACCACAGAGCTCCGTTTCCGGGAACATTTCCTGTTTGTGACACCAACAGGGTCCCCAGCCCAGAGGGTGCAGGGCGGGGGCTTCCCAGCCAGCCAGGCAACCCTGTGAGCCTCGGTTTCCCCATCTCTCCAGTGGGCACGCCCCCAGGGAGCACACAGGGGGCCTGCAGGGGGCCAGGGGGCGGGACACAGGCCGGGCAGCTGGTGGATGGTGGACCACGGGTTACAGTGATTCCAAAGACATGAACCTCAGGCTGCTGCACCAAAGACACACAGACAGACACACAGACACAGACACACACACACAGACACACACAGACACAGCCAGACACACACACATAGACACAGACACACAGACACACACAGACACAGACACAGCCAGACACACACACACACAGACACAGACACAGACACACACACACAGACACAGCCAGACAGACACACACACAGACACAGACACACAGACACACACAGACACAGACACACACACAGACACACACACAGACACACACACAGACACACACACACACAGACATAGAGACACACACAGACACAGCGACACACAGACACAGACACATAGACACAGACACAGCCAGACAGACACACAGACACACACACACACAGACACAGACACACACACAGACACACACAGACACAGCCAGACAGACACACACACACAGACACAGACACACACACAGACACACACAGACACAGCCAGACAGACACACACACACAGACACAGACACACACACAGACACACACACAGACACACACACACAGACACACACACACAGACATAGAGACACACACAGACACAGCGACACACAGACACAGACACACAGACACAGACACAGCCAGACAGACACACAGACACACACACACAGACACAGACACACACACAGACGACACACACACAGACACACACAGACACAGCCAGACAGACACACACACACAGACACAGACACACACACAGACACACACAGACACAGCCAGACAGACACACACACATAGACACAGACACACAGACACACACAGACACAGACACAGCCAGACACACACACACACAGACACAGACACAGACACACACACACAGACACAGCCAGACAGACACACACACAGACACAGACACACAGACACACACAGACACAGACACAGCCAGACACACACACACACACAGACATAGAGACACACACAGACACAGCGACACACAGACACACACACAGAGACACACAGCCACACAGCCACACAGACACACACACGGCCAGACACACGCACTCACACAGACACACAGAGACACACACAGACACACAGACACACAAAGACACAGAGCCACACACACAGACACACACACTCACACACACAGACACACAGCCAGACACACACACACAGAGAAACACACACACAGGCAGAAATGTGACAAACATACAGAAACACAGCAGACAGATGCACAGACATGCACAGAAAGACACACAGGAACACGGCAGCTACACAGACCCACACACACAGACACAGACACATAGCCAGACACATATACACACAGACACACACAGGCAGAAACGTGACACACAGAAACACGGCAGACAGATGCACAGACATGCACAGAAAGACACAGAGGAACACGGCAGCTACACAGACACACGCAGACACACAGAGACACAGGCAGAAATGTGACACAAAAACAGACGCAGGCAGAAACAATAGATGCACAGACATACACAGACACACAGAAAGACACACGGATGAACACGCGATGGTAAACAGTCACAGACTCTCAGGCACAAACAGACCAACACACGGTCACACACACACAACCACCAGACACACACACAGACACAGCGACACACAGACACACACACAGACACACACACAGACACACACACAGACACACATAGACACACACACACAGACACACACACACACAGACGCACACAGACACACACACAGACACACAGACACACACAGACACACACAGACACACACACACAGACACACACTCACACACACAGACACACACTCACACACACAGACACACACACAGACACACACTCACACACACAGACACACACACACAGACACACACACACACAGACACACAGACACACGGCCAGAGCTACGCCTGGTTCCCTCCCCAAAGCAAGATGCAGCTGCACAGACGCACTCACTCCCTGCCACACCCAGGGCCTGGGCCTCCTCCCCGGCTGCAGGCCCCCCACCTGTTCACAGCCAAGTGGCCCCACAGAGACCAGAGAGCGCCCCCTCACAGAATCGGCCTGGGCGTCCCCCAGACCCAGCCACCTGGGCGCCCAGTGCAGGCCTGGGGCACCATGCCACCCGCTGGGCCACACAGGGGACACCTGGCACCTGGCCCCTGTCACGGCGGGCTTTGGGACACGCCCACATCAGGGCAGGGCCAGCGCCGGATGCGCCCAGCAGCCTGGCTCACACCAGAGCACTGTGTCCCGTCGTGAGCCGCGGGGCCACCTCACCTGCGGAGGCTCCTCTGCTCTGCGGGGCCCCCACCTGGCTGGATCCTGCGCGCAGAGGTCCCAGCGCCTTCCAGAGCTGAGCTGGCGGATCTGCGGAGGGACGGGAAGGCCAGGCTCCGGTGGGCCTTCCGGGGAAACTGAGTCACGGCCAGAGGCAGGCCCGGCAGAGGACCCTGGCGCTGGCGCGTCGCCACGGGACACAGATGGAGGGCGTGGTGGCACAGGACACCCCGGGGGCGCGGCCTGCAGGGGTCTGCGGAGGCTAAGCCGAGCCGGGGCGCGTGGGGGCTGCTGGCAGCCCGCAGCTCTGTCTCTCCGTCCTGTCTCTCTGCGTCCTGTCTCTGTCTCTCGCCGTCTCTCATCAGCCCCGCCCACCCCACGCTGGCCACACCCCTCGGGCCCGGGCCTGGCTGACTTGGGGTCAGTGGGTGCCCCCAGCAGGCCGGGACACTCCTCAGCCTCCTGGGAAAGGCAGCACCCGTTGGGACCCCTCCAGGCCGCAGGTGGCCGGGATGTGGTGGCCCAAGTGGGGGTGACAGGGGCTCCTCCTTGGGAGCCTCTGCCCCTCCAGCCGCCCGGCCGCCCTGCCAGGCCCACATTATTCAACATCTGGGCAGCACCCAAGGCCTGGAGGGGGCGGGGCAGGTCCAGACGGATGGGCTCCCCGGGGCGTCCAGACCCCACGACTGCAAGCCAGTTCACGGGGTGCGCTGGAGGCCGGCACGCTGTAGGTGGTTAATACGTGCAGGGCATATTTGAGGCCCCTTCCAGGGGTGCGGTGGGAGGACAGAGGGATGGGGGTGCACCAGACTCCACAGGCCAAATGAGAAAGGGGGTCTCAGAGCAGGTAAGCCAGGGGGGCTGCGGTGATGGCATTTCGTGGGAGGGTCTCTGGAGGAGGAGCCTCGGAGGTGGCTTTGGAGCCAGAGGAGGAGGGATCTGGAGCCGGAGGCTGCAGTGGGGGATGGGCACTCTTTCCTGCCTGTCCCCCAGCCCGGGCTGGGAAGGAGGGATGGAGCCCCATAGGAATGGCTGAGAAGCGCCGGATGCAGGGCCTGGGACCGTCTTTGTGGAGGGAGGATCTTGGGCCTCAAGACAGGAACCTGAGTTAGGGCCTGGAATGGGACCGGACAGCCTGGCCTGGCCCTGACTCCACCCCACCCCATCCCCTGGGCCAGGCTGTGAGTGAAGGGGATGGATTCCCAGCCCCGCCCGGCCCTGCCGTGAGCAGAGTCCGGAAGCCCCTTCCCCGGCGACCCCACCCACCATCCTTCCTCCTCCTGGCCTTTGGCCACACCCAGCCTCCCTCCCTAGGGTCTGTCCCATTGACTCACCAGCCGGTTCACACCACTTCTCTCTTCCCTGGCCGGGAGGTCATTCAACTCCTATACATCTGGCAAAACCCTGGCTCCAAGGCCACTCCTCCGTGAAGCCAACCTGATCTCCAAGTCTAACTCTCCTCAGCCCCTCTCTGTGTCCCAGCTCCAAGTGAGACTGAAACCAGGACAGCCCTTTGGGATGCCCTAGGCTGGAGGAAGAACTGGATACAGCCTGTTCCAGCCCCCTGGGGTCAGGGCTGGACCAAAGGAAGTGACAGGGCCTAGGAGAGCCCGGAGGTGAGCTAGAAAGGCATCTAGTGAGGAGAGGGCATACGAAGTGGGGTTTTGTGGGATGAATAGGAGCTTCCCAGGTCTGGGATATGTGGCAGTGACAGGAATTGCATGTATAAAGCTTTGCAGGCTAAAAAGTATGAGGTCCTTGCTATACTAACTGCCAGGAGGGCAGATGTGGGCGTGGGGAGGAGGATGTGGGGCTGGGGCTCCCGAAGAGGGGGCAGTGGGAGGTGGAGGAAGGCTGTTCTGTCCCCACTTCCTCGGTCCCAGGTCCGGAGATAACAAGGGCAATGTCTCCTCGGGGAAACAGCCTGGTCGGGGTTCAGAGGACACTGAGCTTAAGTCTCACCACGTCTCTGCAAATCCGGGTAAAGATGCTCATTTTAGAGACGGGGAAACTGAGGCCCAAAGGGGGAATGATGCCTCACTGTGGTGCTGGGCTTCCCTGCCGTCTGAGGCTGGTGGCCGGAGGTCTCCCGGTCTTGGCCCGCCTCCGCCAGCACCTCAGGTTCAGTGGGAGCACAGGAGGCTCTGGTGGGAGGACTTGGGGGCAGATAGTGGGAATGGAGGCCAGGCTCAGGATGTGCCCCCCATGGTTGTGGTTTCCGGCAGGGCAGGGGCCGGGCAGGGAGTGTCTATTCTTAGCTCTGGACACAGCCCAAGTCAGGAAGCTGGGGCGGGGGCGGGGGAAGCTTCCACGACACCGGGTGGACCTGGGGCCGGGATGGGGAGTCCCGGGGTAGCTGGGGGGCGGTGTGTGCAGAGCATACCTCTGGCCTCCCGTCTCCCTGCCGGGTGACCCTGACACCCAGCTCGGAGGCCCTCCCCAGCTCACGTGCCCTCCGTGCCTCCCTGGTGCCCTGCTCCCCAGGACCTGGCTCCTTAGCTCCTGAGCCCTGTGTGCCCCTCCTCTGCCAGCAGCCCATCTTTTCAGGCCTAGTGCCTATGACCCTTTGGGGGTCCCAGGGCCCCAGCTCTGCTCCCTCCAGACTGGGGCCCCTGTTAAAACATGTGCCTTGCCAGTTGGTGGACGGCCATCTCCCTTGGGGTCCAAAAGGCACGAGGGGAGGGGGAACCAGGATGCTGGGGGTGGGGGGAACCTCTGCAGGGGCAGGTGGGGAAACTGAGGCTGGGACGGCGTGGTGGTCTGGAAGTGGGATTCTCCAAGGTAGAGAAACCGCTTTCTGGGCTGGAAAACGTGGGCTTCTGTGAGCCTGTGTCCCGAGCAGCCAAATGGAAGTAAATGCTGTCACACAGAGCTGGTGTGGGGTGCGGGGGTGTGGGGGGCTGCGGCAGCCACACAGCACGACCTGGCCCGTTTTGTGGGATGAATAGGAGCTCCCCAGGTCTGGGCTATGTGGCAGTGACAGGAATTGCATGTATAAAGCTTTGGAGGCAAAAGAGTATGAGGTCCTTGCTATACTAACTGCAAGGAGGGCAGATGTGGGCGTGGGGAGGAGGATGTGGGGCTGGGGCTCCCGAAGAGGGGGCAGTGGGAGGTGGAGGAAGGCTGTTCTGTCCCCAACACCGCTCTAGGCTCAGAGGCGCCTTCTGGCGTTGAGGACGTGGAAAGCCGCGGCAGTCACGCCACTGCACTCCACCCTGGGCGAGTGAAACCTCGTCTCAAACATACAAAGTGCCTCCCAGGGCCCCCCGGGCTCAGCGCTGCCCACGGCGGCTTGTCCTGTACCGATCGGCGGTGGAAGTGGCCAGGGACCCATGCGAGAGGCTTCCCAGTGGCTTCTAAGACGGCTCTGGCCATCTGCTGTCTACTCGTGATGTCTGGTAAAGGCTGGGCCCCGGATGGCGGCGCTGGGTGCGGCACTGCGATTGGGCATTCTGGAGCAGGCCGGGCAGGGTGGGCCCGGATTTGCAATGTGGAGAGGGGGCACCTTGATCAGATGCGCCTAGCTGGCCAGCCCCAAGCCCCTGTGCCAGACTCCCGGGATCTTGTTTCAGGTCAGGGCTGGGAGGTGACCAGTGTCCCGGGGGAAGTTCAGGACCTGCCTCCCACCTCTGCCTGCTGCGGTGAGGACATGTGGGGAGACTCATCCTGGACACGGCTGCACACTGGGTGGCATCCCTGGCCTCCATCCACTCCATGCCAGCAGCAGCCCCAGGTGGGACCACCATGATTGTCCCCAGGTGTGGCCAGGTGCTGCCCCGAGAGCCTGGGCCCAGGCCCGCAGCTGAGTCCACCCTCGTACCCTCCCTCCTGTCATCTGGGGAATAATGCACGTTTGCCCCTGCTGTGGGAGACAAGGCAGGGGGGTGGGGTCAAAGATGGAGACTCAGGCCCTGACACAGCTCCCAGAGGGACTGGCGGTCCCCAGTTGGGTGCCGTGTTGTTTCCCAGGCTCTTTCCTTGTGACAAATGGGTCCAGTCACAAACACCACCAGCAACTAGGGCAGTGGGTGTGGGCACCAGGGACGCTGCCCTCTCCGCACTTCTGCAAACCTGAGATTATTCTAAAATAAAATGTTTATTTAAAAACATGCAATCTTGCCACCAGGCCAATTCCGTGAGAATAAAAGATTTTTTCCCCACCTACAAAAGTCTAAGAAAACAAATGAAACTCTTTCCAGATGGGGCAGGGGCTGCGGGTGGTCTGGGGCTGGCGACTGGGGAGATTGGGTGTGGCCCTCTGGGGGTCTGGGAGGCACATTCCACTTCGCTTCAGTTGCAGACGCTGAAGGAACCAACCTGCCTGCTGGGCCACTCTAGGCAGGGCTGTGGCACCCATGTGGCCTCAGCCCTCCTTGCCTTAGAAAGGGGAGCAAGGAACCACTGTCCTGACACGGGCAGGAACTCTGGGTCACTGGTCTCATGCCCCAAGGCCCTGTGACCAGGCCAGCTGGGGGCATCCCCAGGGGAAGCCCCTCACCAACCTCTAACCGGCCGGGCTTTGGGGAGCCCGTCCCCCAGGCCCTGTGCTCAGAGGCGGGCAAGGACGGCTCAGCGAGCCTTGGTTCCCATAACCTTGAAGGAGTTGGGGACCCCAACTCCTCCTCCTCCTCTGCTGCAGGGAAACAGGCCCCACAGCCGGCACAGGGGTGAGTCGGGGGCCAGTCTCTACAGAAAGCACGTGTCCACCGACGGTCTCTTCTGCAGCGACAGATCAGGCGCCAGCAGGGTCCCAGCCTCAGTGCTGCTGATGAGGGTGAGGGCGGCCTGTGGGCAGGGCTGCAGCTGCCCCGTGCCTCGGGCTCTGCCTCAGGCCTGATGGGCACCCTGCGATGTGTTGGGGCTGGCCTTGAGTTTCCTGCCTCTCACAAGCCAGGCACCGCCACGCCCAGGACCCTGTGGCCCATCCCCACAGCACCCCGTGTGGTCTCGGCTGGGGCAGACCCTGTGGGCCCCACACCCAGCCTGGCTGAGGGGGTAGTGTGTCCGCCTGGACGGCGAGGTCAGCCGGCTCTGAAGACGGGCAGTGCCCCCTCTGACGCATCGGGACCCTGGGCCAGCCTGTCCCAGCGTCCCCTCAGCTCTCCGAGGCGGGCTTGATGGTGACCCCCCTTTTGTAT